CCTTGCTGGAATCCTTCCAGAAAACTAAAAAAAAAAAANAGACAGTGTCGGCTGGCGACCCCCAGGGGGAGAGCCTTCTCTGTCGGAGCACCCACCCTCTGGAACGAGCTGCCCCCAGAGATCCGGGTGATCCCGGATCTCCCCTCCTTCCGCCGCGCCCTTAAGACCTGGTTATTTCAGCAGGCAGGACTGGCCTAGGGGTATTTTAAAGGGGTTTTAAATTAAATTTTTAGTAGAATCGGCCAAATTTAAATAGTTATTTTTAATCTTTTTAAATTTTGTATTGTATTATATCATTGTTTTAAACTGGCTGTAAGCCGCCCTGAGTCCTCCGGGAGAAGGGCGGGGTATAAATTTAATAAAATCAAAATCAAATCAAAATCAAAGTAGACATTCTCCCCAATTAAAATTGGATCAATGTCACTCCTTGAAATGGGCTAAATACCACACACTTTCAAATTCCTTTCATGATTGCTTGGAAATCTTCTGCCTACTTCTGTTACAGTATATATGATTCCTTATAGTTGTCTGAAGAGGAACATTACCGCATTCTTTCTACTGTGACTTTGCTGTTTTCTGTTGCTCAGTCTTAGTCTAAATAGCTGAATTTCTTCCTGTCTCCTGATTTGAACTCGCTACTGCGGACACATAATGCAATTATTTTATTTGTATTTCTGTCAAGATGTACATATAGTCTTTCACCTCTGCTTTCAAGGCACTTTACAAAAATAGAAAATCTGTACTGTAGGGAAGTGAGGGAAGTGATTAAAAAATAAGAGAATAATTACCGTAATATATAGTAGGAATATATAATTACATATTATCCACACACATATAAAAAAAATAATCAGCCAAATGCATTGCAGGATGAGGAGTTTTTTTTTAATAGAAAGAGTTTACTAAGCTGGTCCAATGCAACTGGCATAAAAGATGACTTTTCAATCCAGGGCTCAAAGTCACCCACTGCCAGGTGTCCACTATTTGAGTGGACAGTCCACTTTTTTCACATTATGTTCACTATTTTTTTCACAAAATAGTGGACATTTTTTTTATTCAAAAGCTTTATGATGAAATGGTACGTAATCTAAAGCTGTACAGTCTACTTTTTGTACTACTTAACACCCCCCCCCCCGCTTGTCCGCTATTTTTTGGAAACAGACCTGGCAACCCTATCACCCAGTCAGTTTCTGTGTCTAAGGGAGGATTAGAACTTGAGTCTCCCTGTCAGCAATACTTTAACTATTACATTACATTGTCTCTTGCATATGTGTGCATGATTCCAAAAACATAATACATTGATTTTCTACAAGAATCTGTTCCTCCCCATTACAACTGAAGCTATGGATGTCTGCTAATTACCGGTCAGGAAAATGGCTTCCTTGCACTGTTTATAGTTTCCCATAATGATACAAATCTGCTAATGGTCACCATTGTTATGAGGGCAGTTCTCAACATCATTGTAATTGTATCCATGGTGATCTTGTCACAGTGATTTCCTGAAATGCTGATGAATATGTATAACTAGTTTCCCTGGCAGAAGGCATTCCCATTAGTTGTTCTCACATGGTAAAGGTTAAGGAAATCCTCTGGTTTATACATTTGTTGTTGCACAACAGTCTGGGTGATCACTAGGGTCAATATTAACTCAAAGGCACACATACCCACCTGCCCCCATCTCCACATACAAACACATCTTTTGACAAACTGTACAAGCATATCAGTTGTCTGGCCTTGTATGATCCATCTATCCCATCCATCGCCAGTAAGCCATCCATTTTGTCTCTTGTAACATGCCAGGAAGGAAAACAAAAAGTGGAAGGGTAGCATAGGTAATTTTGTGTGCTATTTGCCTCTGATCTCCTCCCATTGCCCACGGATATTGACAAAGTGGTAAAAAGCCTTGTCAACTTCGCTTTGAAACTGATAGGAATAAAGTGTCAATAACACAAATTCCCATTTCAGGATTGATAAAAATGGCATTTTCCCTCTCCCCCCCCCATACAGTGTTTTTCGGGCCCTTACATTCTGCTATTGTTTTCAGATCTTTTAGAAGTATTTGGTGGTGTTTTTTTTATAGTTTTCATTTCTAAAAAAAAAAAAAAACCCTGAAAAATATGGAACAAATGTCATCCCTTCCCAAACTTTTCATTTCTGCAGCAGTAAAAATTCACCTTCATTCCACACAAAACAACTAAAAGAAAGTGTATATTGGGAATCATCATAATTTGGCACTTTCTACTTTGCTAAAGCATAAACATAAACAATTTTTTTTTCTTATTATTAATCTCTTTCAGGTTGCCTCCTTTTTCAGGTTTACCCTTTATTTTTCCCCAGAAAAATATAGTCATTTTACATATTACAGATACTGCATTATCATGTCTTGTGTTGTGGTGGTGTCTCTTTTGATTATCTGGTCTTTGGAACAATAATATGGCTGGAAAAGGAAGTTCTCTCCCTTTTGCTCTGCTCAGTCTGGGATGAATTTGTTTTAGGAATCAAAAGCTGATAAGGAAAGGGAGTGCTGGGAA